GAGGAGAGAGAGAGAGAGACACGGATGGAAAGAAGAGCGGAGGAAAAGAGGGAGGTGTCGATGCCGGGCGTTACCATCGGTCTACCGCCTACCGCAACTCGGTATGCGCTGCCAGGCGACGGCGTTGGCGTCCTAGGCCTCCGCCCACTGGATGCTATTTCGCCTGCCTGCCTGTTCGTTCCATCCGCCAGCGAACGTTTAAACGCTTCTACCAAAGCGCGGGAAAGGTAGAGGGGATCGCGAACCCGACCGAATACCCGAGTGTCAGATCGCAAGGGGACGCGAGTGCAAACATGTCAGTTGTTTCATCGTTATGGATAAATATCGGATAATATATCGGATTGTTGAAATTTCGAATTTCGATTCGAATAAAAATTATTAATTCTTCCGTTCCGAATTTTCATTTCTTTTTGTGACAGAAAGAAAAAGAAGAGAGAGAGAGAGAGAAGAAAAAAAAAGAAAAAAAATTCGATATACATAGTGCAGTGCAAGTATATTTTTGCTACGTATCTAACAAGGTGAAACCTTTAATACGTTGTTTTAATAGATATAATCGATGATATTCGCTATTTTTCACCTCGTAAAATTATCGAAATGTAAAACAAGTATGAAGATATTAAAATAATACTAGAAATACATTTGCTAGTGAAAATTAGATAAAACAAAAATATATTGTACTATTCTACTGTTGTATAATTTTTTCAATTTTGATCGTATTTTTTTTTTTTTTTCTTTCTTTCTTTCTTTCTTTCTCTTCCGATTGCACGCTTCTGATAATACATATACATATTTATATGGAGATATTACACGTGTAATCACGAAAATCGGTAGAAAAGTTGCCCTTGCCTCGTTCGTTTGCATTCCCGCGAATACTCCCCTCCATTGCTTACCTTGTGTTCCTGTTTCTTTACCCTGACTTCACACTCCCCTCCTGTTAGGCTGCAAGTCTCCTCCCCTCTTTTCCTCTCTTTCCCTTCTCCTATCCCCGTCCTTTCTTCCTTCCTTCCTCGGTGGAGTGCCAGTCTCTTTCGGCATCGCGGTGTGCGCGCATTATTTCTCGTGTACAGCGCTGGACACGTCGTGGACGCACTCTTCGTATGTAAATTTTTACGATAGAAAAAAAATCGCTGCATGCATGTCAACCATCAACGTGCCACGTGTATTTTTTTTATTAAAGACGTTTTCGTTTTACAAACTTTGCGATCCGTCGAAATCGGAACGAGAAAATAAAAATCTCTCTAGTGACAATTAAAACGATAATAAAACACCCTTTTCTTTCTATATCTACCTGTTCGTGAATATATATATATATATATATATTATAATTATATTATATTATAATTATATTATATTATATATACGTATAATATATGAACAAACGTAGATTTTTACAAAAAGTTGTTTTGTGTAATGTGTTACATTCCAATTGATAGACTCTGGCATAGATAATTCATGTAATTCGAATATGAAGAAACGATCGCCCCTTCGAGCACTTGCGAGAGAAACATCGTCCGAGACATCTGGTGGCCGTCCTGTAAACCACTCTGATGTATGGAATTAGAAGAGAACTAGAGAAGGGGATTTGGGAGAAGGAGCAAGTGGTCGAAGGAGCAATCGGCGTTGGGGCGGAGTCTGACGGTCGTCACACCTCCCCTCCCCCGATCCTACATCTCAGGACGTCCCCCCGGCGATATTCCACTGCTGTCACCAGTTTTGTCACGTTCCGGGAGGAGTGCAGTTCGACGGCCGTCATAGTAGGAAGATCAACCGTCTTTTATTCAGAAGGATTAACCAGAGAAATGGACGTATTTGCGTTGTTGCGGTAACAGTGTTTATTCGTGGCGTCGATGATTCGTACTTGGAATTCTGCAACTTCTCACCGGTAACGTGACACTTACCGACGGAGTAGATATTAATTCGTTTGTTTCACGTCACGTGCGATTCACGCGGGTGCGACAATAGGCTGGTGTATACCGAGAGTAAAAAAGCGTACGGTCGTGCGCGTGCGTTCGTTTCGGGTACGGTTCACGGTGTGAATTTTTTTTTTGAACGCGGGCAAGGCCTAGCGTGGGATATTGGACGGTGATAAACATCGAGAGCGAACCGTCCTTTCCTCTTTCCTAATTGTATTTTGGCAGCGTGTGGTTCCCTGCGGGGGTGTCTCTTGTGTCGTGGGCAACCGCTTTGCGGTAAAACAATCAAAATTCGGGTGAAGAACAGAGAACCGTTACCATCCTACGCGATGGAAATGAGCGACGAATATCAGGACATGGGAAACCCTGGGGGAGGGGTCGCGGTGGTCAATATACCGATGGCCCATCATCAGCATTCGCCCGATAGTCCGCTGGTGAGTGTTTTCATATTTTTCTTTTTTTCTTTCTTATTTATGATCCAACGTTTTCTTCGTTCTTCTTACGAAGAAGAAAAACTTTTTCGATGTTTTAATTATTATCGACAGATGATGATCACGTGACCATTTTCTCGATGATATTTCGATACTTGACCAATAGACTCGTCGTATTTCGATATTTGCATTTCACTCGTATTATTTCACGAATATATTTATTACACGATGCAACAACATCGTGTAAGCGCATAAAACGAAAAGGAAACATTGATTACAAATAGAGCGAAGAATTCGCCAACTCGAACGTAAGAATGTAATTTGAGACGGATAAAATTGCGTTGTATCGTGTTTACACATGTTTTTGATCAGTCGCTGGTCGATCGATAAAATTGGCTGACAATAGAGAACGACCGTGTATTTATGTATTTACGGCATACATCACTAGAAATACACCGAAATGCTACAACGTGCCAGAAGGGCGGCATGGTTTACAAACAATGCCGAATTGGTTGCCTTTGCCGCTTGGAACGCGTTTTTTATGTATCTTAGCTACGAGTTTTATACATGTGTCTATCGTTCTATCGTTATAAAAGTCACATTCGACTTATTTATATCATGATCGTTCCAGAAACCTTGATAAATTTAATTTGCGCCGTGTAAATCATAATATTTTAAAATCTTTTTAAATAATTGTAAACGTATTATATACGTTATATGTAATTCAAACTTTATAATAAATTATCGATATTACGAAGATTTTATGTAATTGTATTCGCGAGTATCTTAAGAATAATAATATTTTTGATAGACGATCTCTCTCAAGATTTCGAGGAAATTGTGTTGAATAAAAAGATACATTAGCCGTTTTCTCACTAAAATTAGCACTGTTATTGTTGGCACGTTTATCCATAGTCGTCTTAATCTTCGACGACAACCCTTTACTTTCGACTTTCTTTTTCTTTTCCTACCAGATTATCCGACATTAATTCTCTGTACTTTTTATTTTATTCGTATAATGGATTTCGCGATGTTTATTATATAAATATTTGATACTTATATATATATATATATATATATATATATATATATTCTTTTATTTA